AGGAGCTCGGTGGAGTAGCCCTTTCGATATGCCCACTGATTATCTGTTACCAGACGATTAAAGTTCAGCACATGGTCTATAATTGCATCGTTGACACATGATACCAGAATCTTGCTTGGTATGCTAAGAATAGAGAGAGGACGATAGTTTCCTCTCTCCATTTCGTTGTCTTTTTTATGTACTATTGTTAATTTTGCCGTTTTCCACTCCTGGAAGACAATGCCTGTCTTGAAGCTTAAATTAAACAGAGATGTCAATGGGGGTACGACAGTTGTACACAGAACATCCATTTCTGTAGACAGGCCATTTTTCACTGATATGTACTGTCCAACCTCTACTAACAGACACCTACTGGAATTACATGCCTTCGATAGGTGGACACTTAGTCAAGGTTCCACCCACGTACAAACAAGTACATGCACATGTACATATATGTATTTAACCTCCCATAAAGTAGACACCTCCTACAAGCACTTTTCATGCTCCAAGAGTATCTGCTTTTAGAACTCTGGTTTGACTATACATACACTGTACATGTAAAATTCTAAACCTACCCAAATCCTTCAGATCAGAAATATTATTTTTGGCAAGATCCAGGTGCAGCAGTCCCATACAGTCACTTATACAGCTGACGTCTCGCAAACCTAGAGAACACATTGCATTTTGTTATATAATTTCTGTACTTGTATATTTGTATTTTCTCAGTATACACACTTGTGTAAAGCCTCATGTGTATGCTGAGAAAATATAAGGGTTTAACATTCAAGTATTGCATAATATTATGTTATATCTCTCTATTGTAATAAACACACATGTCATAAATTATAAATGGTCTGGGGAGTGTTCATCTGGGAAACTGGGAAATTCATAGTTCTCGTAATGTGCAAACATGTATATTTTTCACATCTCTATATTTAGTTGGGAGATACTGTGATGAATGAAACCTCCAACTCTCAAGCTGGGTCTTCTATCCAGATTCCACTATAAGTACCTGTACTGTGAGCTACTATGTGCTTCTTGTACCTACCCATTCCACTGAGATCCAAAAAACTGATGCTCTCAAGATCAAATTCACCAGTTCTGCTCTTCAGCAAGTGAGGAGTCAAGACTGAACCTGCAACAGTGGAGGGAAAAACAAAAGTGACCATTCAAACATGCGTTTGTTGCATTATTCCCCAATTCTGTCGAGAAAACTGCCAGCAAACGTTCTTGCCTCTCCTATCCTACATGCACTGTACCTGTAATTTTAACAAACAGCTCATCTTCCTAAGAGGCCTAATCATTAACAATTAGAGAACAAACATAACTATAAAGTAGAGAAACCAGAGAAACCTTGAGCTAAATTCGACCGTCCATCGGGAGCACATGTTCAGAGGGAAAATACCATGAAAACACTATAACTGTATCAAACACTCTAATAAAAATACGTCACTCACAGCTTCGAGGGACAGTAAAGTTGCAGGCTTACCTCCAGCTCTTGCCATGAGTTTTTGACTCCGTGGAATAAGTTTCACGGCGACATATAGTTCGTCAAAAGCTTCCTGATCTTTACCGCCATGTTGCTATGCTCGTAAACACGAGTCGTCCCATTCCTCTACTCGAAAAGAAATGACTCCTTTCTTCCCGTCAGGCCACGCTAGCGTTGCGCGGGAAAATTCGTCCATGCCAGAGGGTTTGATGATTTGAAAAGATGGAGGTGACTCAAAAAGTAGTAAGAAATGGGAAAGAATATAACGCAGACAGCGGCGATAAACATTGTATTCCAACGCATTTTAATACAGAACTTGACGTTTGGTATGCTAGTCTACATACATTTTCAAAAGTGACCGTCGTAATGACAAGGGAAAAACGGAAAAAGATCGAAAAACAGAGGACATTGGACGACTAAGATCAGGACTTCTTGATTATTTTTAGAGTTGACAGGGGACGAATTAGCAAGGGAAGACTTGCTGTAAGTTGCCTCCAGTATACTGACCAAAGAGAACATACAAGTCAAGGACTGTTACACTATCATTACGGCCCATATTTGCTATTACCCAATCAGAAGCCGTCTCCTGATATCCTGCGATATCATGTCACTGACCTGATATGGCTACGATATCATGCACACTTGGCCAAATTTGGGTACGGCAAATAGCTAATCGTACCGTTTTTGGTATGGTTCAGCGGCATATCAGGCTCGTTTGGTTCCCGGGGGGAACTCCCATATAAAAGGACGGGGGTGTTCGTCGGAAATTTTTAAAAGAACCGCTAAGAGGTACCCAGATCCTGCTTTGTGGGCGTGGCTTGAAAGTTTTTTCACCCCTAAGAGATACCAATTCTAGAACAAACCATTACCTCCTGCCATATCTTTTCTGCTCCTGCTGTGGACCTTTTGAGGCTGAACACCCTAAGAGCTACCAAAACCGCTTTTTTAACCCCTTAAAACTAACAGAGAACCCCCGTCCTTTTTACATGGGTGTCCCCCCGCCCCGGGATTTGGTCTCGCTATGAGTATTTTGGTTCTACTACGTCTCACCAAAATACGAACCATGGCTCGACCAAACCCGCCTGAAATGCCACCGAAGTACACTCACTTTTAATAAGTATGTATATTTTTCATGCCCAGGCTGGATTTTCTTATTTTTCTGCCGACTTAATGCTGAAAATATTGTTGTGTACATTCTTAGCTTTCAGTTGAATAAAAGTGTATGGTATCAGTATTTTGTTACATTGCGCACGTGCTTTATCGCTTTACGTTATACGTAGTTTACTTTGCGTTTTGTTACCTGGTTTTGTTAGAGAAATGAAATAATTTGCCATACTTTTCAACAATCAAATCAAGTTCATTTATTTTATTGTATTTTACTTCCATCAACACACACACAAAAAAACTTTTTTTAAAACAAAATCTTATCCTTGGGTATATTCTTCACATATTAAAATTCTGCCAGTAGATTCTTGTTCAAAGGGAGAGAGAGAGAGTGTAAGACAAAGCCATTCAAGAGCTTCTTGTGTTCTTTTGTTCAAAGTAGCTACTGCAGTAGATGACTCAAACAGGTACACAGTGGAACAAAAAAAGACAACGTTTGAGAAGTTTTACTTTACTTTATTATAAATACAAAACCGTGAAATACTAACTTAGAAAGGCTTTAGTGTTACATGTCCAAATACATGTGGCTTGCAGGTATTACAAACAAATTCGCTAAGTTCAAAAGCACGTAAGAACAGGAGTGAGGGTAGAGATTGAAAGCTATGGGTAATAGAAATATCAAGTGAGGAAGCTGGTTTATAAAATAAAACCCTCATATTAACTAATGATACCCCCCCCCCCCTATTAACTATGCACCGACCGAGCAAGCTGGCCTAACAGTTAAAATGATAATCATTGAAAACAACATAAATAATCAACTTGCCAAAAGGTTTCAAATCTATACAGCATCGTGAAATTTATTACAAACGGCCAAATAGGTCTGCACATTGATTTTCGCATTCATAAGTTTCCCGCTCTTCTCCTTCGCAAGGTTTCCCGCCAAAACTGGGCTCTGGACTCGTGCAATTTCGAAAACGTTCTTGAAAACCTCCGCACGACTCGCTACAGGACGTCCATTCACTCCATTCTGACCAACCTCCATGAACTAGAACAATACGGAGAGAAACATACATCAAAATGTATAGAATCTAAATTTTCTCTTTCTCGTCCCTATGCGGACCGTTGCATTCGCAACGTTAAGCGCCCTAACCATCAAGCTCCCCGCTTCCTGTTTCCAACCCACTTTTCATTGGCGAAATGTAGCGGGCGCTGGGGAAAAGTCAGTCACTTCGCCTTTAGGCATGTGGAAAAAAAAAAAAAAAAAACCTACATTAAGAACTTAAAAGTTTCACTTGACCACCTCGCAGCTCCACAGTTTCTTTGGAAACAAGATTCACTAATACCTCTGTTCATATTGAAAGTTAGTTTTCCTCCGTTGCTACTTCCATGGATGGGTTAAGGTGGCTTCTTTTATTCCTATAATCCGGCAGTAAGAATAAACGGGCTTTCATCTAGATTTACTCACGTGACAGCTCGTTTCTAACTTACTGGGACAGGGTGGTAGTTGGCACAACTGGTTTTGTTGCGCTTCTCCCTTGCAATTTTTCCCGCCATTTTCAGGTGCTGGTTGCGTGCAGTTTCGGAAACGCTCTTGAAAACCAGTCCCACANTTGATTTTCGCATTCATAAGTTTCCCGCTCTTCTCCTTCGCAAGGTTTCCCGCCAAAACTGGGCTCTGGACTCGTGCAATTTCGAAAACGTTCTTGAAAACCTCCGCACGACTCGCTACAGGACGTCCATTCATTCCATTCTGACCAACCTCCATCAACTGTAACAATACGGAGATAAACATACATCAAAATGTATAGAATCTAAATTCCTTTTCTCGTCCCCATGCAAGTCCCTTTTGGTTGGACCGCGCGGAATTGCGGACCGTTGCACTCCCAAAGTTAGGCGTCCTAACCATCAAGCTCCCCGCTTCCTGTTTCCAACCCACTTTTCACTGGCGAAATGTAGCGGCCGCTGGGGAAAAGTCAGTCACTTCGTCTTTAGGCATGTGAAAAAAAAAGCCTACAGGAGCTTAAAAGTTTCACTTGACCACCTACGCAGCTCGACAGTTTCTTTGGAAACAAGAGATTCACTAATACCTTTGTTCATATTAAAAGTTAGTTTTCTTCGGTTTCTTAAAGCTAAGTTGCTACTTCCATCGATGGTTAAGGTGGCTTCTTTTATTCTTATAATCCGGCAGTAATAATAAACGCGCTTTCATCTTTGATCTAGATTTACTCACGTGACAGCTTGTTTCTAACTTACCGGGACAGGGTGGTAGTTGGCACAACTGGTTTTGTTGCG